TGTGCAAACACAATGCAGTACATATCAGAATATAGTTCCAGATGTGAAAATATGGCAGTGGCCAAAAGAATAGCTTTTGAAAGAGGTTATTCAAGATATGTTGTTCATAAATAAACTCTACACATCATCCCTATGTTGAGCTTTGCCTCTGGGCAGGAAACACGACTGTCTCAGATGACCTGACATCTGGACAGTTCACAAAATAGGACATTTTTATTTTGGCCCCAAACCATCCAACAATAGGGTTTTTCAAAAAGTCTTTGATGAACAGGAAGAAAATGCAAAGGTCTGAGAAGTGGTGTGATATGTTCCACTTCCTTGAATAGGCTCATTGTCATTGACTTTTTGCAAAGACCTCCAAAGACACAATTAGCAGCCAAGCGTGTTTGAGATTGAAATTGTTGAGGCTGTTAAAAGAGACCGTATCGTATTACAATCTCTTCCGTATTTGAGAAGGGTATTTTTTCATGTGCATCCAGTGAAGTTGAATTCATTCCAAGTCTAGTTGCATTTTTCTTTTCAAACAAATGCCCTTAGAGGCAGAAGCTGACATTGAATGAAGCTTGGAAGCACCGGGTCATCACTCACACAGCATTATCTTGGATTAAACCTTGAAACCTCACTCTTTGTAAGTGCTCCACCGGTGGCATTAGTCATTACAAAGGTCATCTGTTATCGTATCTGCTTCAAATCCATCTAATGGCCATCCTGAGCGAGACAGGGCAGGGGGCCAACAGACGACTTCCGACAAGGGTAAAACTGGAAATCTGTGCAAGGCATTTAAAATCCTAAATGACTGGGAAAAGGCTGCATTGCATTAACCATGGACTTTTAAATGATGGCAATGACAGAGACATGATATTCAATTCAGTTTTGCTCTGCTGACCAACTCAAGATCACGTTCAGATGTGTCGTTATATAAAAATCTAACTGAGGCTGGTGTGATGCTCGGCCTGGAGGGGAGAGAGAAACCTGACATGTTGCTGGCATTACGTGAACAGCAGCAGAATTGATGCTGCTACAAGACCTGCTGAATACCCAGCCCCTGCTGAAGATTGACCTTGAGTATGTTTCTTGCATAGAAAGCAGGGCGATGTGGGAAATATGCACCATTTAAAGTATTCTGAACATAACATGTAGAAAACTACCGGTGTCGGCTTAAGATTCGCTGAAAGCAAACATAGCATTAAGTCTTGTGAGAGACATTCGTAGGTGAAATCTATTTTTTATTGTTCTATTTTTTGGATAACAGATCTCTGTTGAGTGTGTTTTCCTCCTCTATGTTTGTCACAACGTTCTCAGCACAAACACTGGAGGTTTCAAAATGCTGTTGAGCCAGATCTCCAGGAGATGTCAGCAAATATCTACAGTAAATACAGTAGATGCTGGTTCTTTATCACAAAGACGATGTTACACATTGTTACTTAAAGGGTCTTGCTCTCACAGAGAGCCAGAAAGCCTTGAGATGGATCTATCTTTAGAACGTATGTGTTATGTTTAGAATGAGTAAAGTTACATAAAGGAAAAGCTCCAGAGACAAAAACCAACAACAGCCTGATCCTTTGGTGGAATCTGATCTGATGCTTCTTTAAATTGTGATTAAATTAATAAAACATTTTGTGGTTTGACAGAATCGCTGAAGCTGCCTCATGCATTGCTGGCTTGCAGCTTTTCTATCCCAAACAATATTTCCTCTACAACAATAAACCTCCTTTAAAGCTTCGGTGCAAAAAACAGTTGGATAATTACTGCACCAGCTCTCAGCATGTGAACCCGCTGTCAAATCAGTGGAGTACACCAGAGCCTATAACCTATGGTCGTAACACATTGGTCGCACTTTTTCTGTGGGTCCAACAATAGCATCATCTCCCTTGTGGCAATGCCAGCTCGTCTGCTCAGCAAAGCAAAGGGCTTCAGAGCTCATCAAACTCAAAGCCTCCCACAGAAACAATGCTACATGTCAATTTAACCCAAATCCTGTGAAGGCCAACAAGCTGTGGGCTTGAGCAGCTTTTCCATTTAGGCGTCAATGAGCAGGGGCGCTTCTGGTGACCTGAGAAAAGTTCATCTGAGGAGGGTTTATGCTTAAGGCTACCCACCCCCTGCATGGATGCAAACATAGACACTGCCCTCCCCTCCCCGCCCCAAAAGAGCTTTTTATTCTGACTGAGCAACGTGGCCAAATTAAACTGATAGAATGGCTCATGAATGTTTCTCCCTGTGTGTGTGTGTGTTTATGTGTGTGAATGTGCCTGCGTAGGCAACCCTTCACTTTGCAACTCTGATGCTTTATGCTGCTCAGAGGAATATACTGTGTGTATCGCTGCTTTGAACTTCAACACACACAGTGCCAGCAGTTGCCAAGCAATTACAGAAAGCCTGCATTCCGGGTGCACCTCCGGAAAACTGCACAATTTCTGTTTTGTTTGGTCAGAAAATGACATAATAAAATATGAATGAGGAATATGGTCCGTGCCTCATGTCTGCAAGGTCCAGGTGGTGTGGTGAAGACAATCATTCTCCTGACCGTGGTACCCAGCTGGGATGCTGAGGGCCAGATGGTCCGCTCACAACAGGTAATCACAGCCAGCATGCTGATACACTGACATCCACACAAATGGGTTACCAGAACTACCCAGAGTATTTGGGATGCAGTGATAGAAACCCTCCCCTGCCTGTCTCTGGGGCTTTTTCTATCGAGTCTGCCACTGGTGCGATGCAGTTCAGGTAGTGAGTAATGAACAGAGCTTAAATATGGATTTTTTTTTGCCTCTGTTTCTTAAATAGCATCAAATATTTATCTCATTTGATGAAAAGTTCCACACTCATAAATTCCTCTTTAGTATTCTTCCTTCAAAGCCATGGTGCCTGAGACGAGTTGTCAAAGGATGTTTCACAGAAGTTTCTGTTTGTAAGGTGAACATCATTAAGTTCTTCCTTGAAAGCAATTTATAGAGAAGGTCAGATCCTGGGGCCCCACTCCCGTATTAATACACTGTTCCCCTGAAGAGGCAAGCTACTTTAATACTGGCTGAGGTTTCCACTCGCACGCATTCATTGAATTCATTATTTTGAAAGGTTTTGGGTATTATTTATAGTGATGGAATAAAATGTTAAAAATTGTGTGCATGGCATAATAAGGAGTTTTATGAAGAGGTCAGGGTTCCATTAGGCAAACAAAACTTTGGAGTTACAGTCACGGAAGGTTTATGGCTATAATCTGATGCTTTTAAATACATTTTAGGATAAAGATACATGCAAATGTAATAACACAAGAATCACAGAAAGCTACCGCATCCATCTTTAGTGTTACGAAGGAGTTCATTATCGATATGTACTGTATAATAATCAGGTATATAAGCAATAAGAGCTAATGCCTCTCTGTCAGCTCACTTGAGATAAATCCCTCCAGTGTGATCCAAACAGCTCTATATAGCACAAGCACACACACACACACACACACACACACACACACACGCACACCTCCCCCGGTCTCTAACTTGCTCCCCCTCCCTCCCTCTTTGCCTCTTTCAGCTCACTGAACTGAGTGAAATGTCTTTCCGACTAAATGAATTTTTTTTTTTGCACGGTGGGAACGTTGCCATGGAGACCCCCCCCACATGCCCCTCCTCCTACTTTTCTCTCTCAACAGTCTACAGCATTAAAGCTGTGCTAACTGGTGCGCTGTCACGTGTGTGTGATCACTGTTTGTGTGTGTGTGTGTGTTTCGCTCTTCTTGAACTGTTAACACTGTCAGTATGCTGCAGAAGCCCCATGATGAGTGTGTCTATATACAGAACCTATATCCTCCTCCACCTCCAGTCTCCACTCACATCCTGCATGCAGCCATCTCCTCTCCAGGTTTTCCCATTTGTGTCCTCCTCCTCCTCCTCCACCTCCTCACTGGCATTCTCCTGCTCTTCATCCTCTTTCATTTGTTTAATCCTCTCCCACTCCTCCTCCTCTGTCATTCCCCTGCACATCTGAGCTCGGTCTTCCTCGACTCTCTCTCCCTCCATCGTGCGGATTGCTACTACTGGGCCTCCTCACATAAACAGGAGATATTAGCTTCATGACAAATAATAATGACAAGAGTTTGGGGGTGAAACAGATGCAGGGGGGGCAGATAGAGGAAAGCACACAGGGCAGGCCTCCGTGCTCCATTTTGCATTTAGGCAAAACGCGGCCACAATAAAGAATTCATGACAAAGTGGCTGAATAATTACACACAATTTAATGCACAGCAGAAAGTCAGAGCTTGGTGGTTAAAAAAAAAAAAAAAGTTAATGCTTTTTCTGTCCAGGAGTGTCTTACCTCCCATACCTGAGTCAAATATAGACTCTGTGCCTCTGAATTGCTCACAGCTTTGTATTTTATATATAGCTCACCACCTGACACATGTGACAGTGGCCTCTCCACCTTTTCTACCTTCAAAAGCCAGCAGATGAAAAGAAGTGAGAAACACAAGGCTGGATTATACATATCCTTTATTTCCATTATCATTGCTTCAGTCACACTGTTACTTACACATTCACCAACATCCTGCGACCTGATATATCTGTCCTGACTGAAACAATCCCCCCGACTGAACCCCTCACTCAAATTCTCAGCATTAACCAATAAAAAAGTAAACCTCTTGAATAAATCATATATAAAAAACAACTGAAAATCAAAAAAGAATACCAATTCGAAAAAGATAAATACAGCATAAACAATGTTTTTTCATCATTGTTGTTTTTGACCACAGAGATAAACAATTGCTAGGTCTCCATTTAGTCGTCATTAGTAGTATTAGTATCAAGTTCATTGTCAGATTTTGCTTAAAGCATCACTTATATAATTTTTCATTGCATCAAGTTGACATCATTCATGTTAATATAAGCATGCAAACATGTTTCCCCATGACCATTCGGAACTGCACTAACACGAGAAGACAACGAGAGA